CGATTTTAGTAATAATACTTTTAAAACTTCTGTTTATAAAAAACAACTAGTAAAGACTCCTGCCATCTTAATTTCTATAGTGAATGCCCTCTTAGATATAAAATAGGTGTTATTAAAAAATTTCGTCAAGAGAGCGCACGAGAACTCATCCTCTCGCATGCTCTTCTTTAAAGAATTAAACAATGTAAAGCAAACGCTGATTAATAACGGATTTCCTAATCAATTGTTGGATTTCCACATTAGGCATTTCCTGTCTAAGTTAGATAATAGCAACGGCGAGAAAAGAAACATACACAATAACATTAATATTTTTTATAAAAATCAGATGAATAAAAATTATAAACAGGATGAATGCAGAATTAAGAACATTATAATAAAAGCATAACAACAGTTAACAATAGCAAAAAAATTTGATTATTTATTACAAAAAATTTAAAACCTCTAACCTTATAGTTAAAAATAATAATTCACTTCCTAGAACAAAATTAAGTTGGGCAAATATTATTTACGTATTTAAATACCCATTAAGGAATTGTATTCCTGATCAATCAAAATTCGTAAATAATTATATAGGCCACACTACAAGATGGTTGACACGCAGACTCACTCTACACCTTTCTGACGATAGCTCAATTAGATCTCATTTAAATATTCATGGAGACCTACTGGACACTATTTGGAACATACTTGTCGACAACACTAAAAGCATCATCTACATTCAAAAAAATGCTAAAAATAATGGAAATAAATAATAAAACAAACAAACCAACACTTATATTGTGAGACCGGAAACTACCTACACAATAGACTCTTCCAGGCCTATAATAAGTAGGCGACATAGCACTCTAGAGAGAGAAAGAGAGTGACTGAGAGATAGAAAGACAGTGAGAGTCTCGTACGACTACTAGTATTGGACACTAACATATAGTAAGCTCCGCTTACACTATCTCTGTAACCTGTTGTTAATATATCTTTCTTACATTTAATCCGTGTTCCCAACTTTGGTCCCAACTTTGGCACCTACATCAACTTAATAATATTAACTTTGAATATGGACATAATATTTCTTATTTTAACAGTTAAAATATAATCCTTGAAATAGCTAAATGTATAGCCGAAAGCGCTCGGATAAAAAGAACATTCGGACAGTTTTTATATAATTTATCACCCGAAAAGAAAAAATATTAGATAAAAGCACCTTGTCTTGTCTGTCGTTTTCAATGAAATGTGCATATATATATATATATATATATATATATATATATATATATATATATATATATATCCAGGTAAGATGATTTTTTAGGAAATGTCATTGTCTAAAAGTAAAACATGTATCCATCCACATCCATATTTGGCGTTTGTTGCTGACATTGTTTTAAAACCCATGACCCATTTATGGAAAATAATTTCTTAATTTTTGCTTCTTCACTTAGTTTGAATTTAACGTAGGTCTTATTTGATTGGTTCATCTAAGCAAATCCAACAAAACTTATAACCAACCGTCCTCATTTCTTTTTTTATCTTCGTAAAAAGAGGTTGTATTTTGTTTTTAAATCTGATTAAATCGTTCACTCACCAGTAATTAAAAATCACCTGATGAGATGCGCATCGAAGCACGACTGCATTTGTGTAGCGATTTTTACATGTTTTCGATGTAATATCCTAAAATAAATGTTTTTTTGAGGCTGACTACGACTCCACCGCTCTTTTGGCATCTTCTCATGTTCCATCGATCGGAACAAATGATAATCGTACAGGGCAAGATATATATATATATATATATATATATATATATATATAGCAACTATGCATATATATATATATATATATATATATATATATATATATATATATATATATATATATGCATAGTTGCCTACTTGGGAACTGTTGAAGATAAGGAATAGGGTAGGGCCCAGCACAGAGCCCTGGGGAACACATGCGTTCTTGGGAAAGTAACTGGAGCAGAATCCTTTAACGGCGTGGTTCATTACACAGTTTAGTAGGAATGATCATATTAAGTCGAATAATCGACCTGAAATTCCGTATCCCTGAAGCTTACGAAGGAGGCAGGCATGCCAAACCCTATCAAACGGTTGAGAGATATCTAGAACCACGGCTCGAGCTTCTCCGTTATTGTGAAGTGTTTGGTAAACAATTTCAGTTATAGACGTGAGCACATCAGCCGTAGAACCGGTAGAGCGGAATCCATATTGCTTGTCAGAGAGCAGATCATGGGATGTAAGGTGCTTAACCACTTCAGCGTTGATTAAAGCGTCAAAGACTTTGCCGAAGAGTTGGTAGGAGACTGATAGAACGGTAGTTCTAGGTGGGTCAGAAGTGTCTCCAGAGTTTTTAAAGACAGGTACAATAGATGAGGACTTCCAACAGGCTGGAAAGCAAAATTTATTGAGGCAGTAGTTATATAATCTGGAGAGGGCAGGAGTTCAGGAGCACATTTCTTCAGTACAATGGCTGGTATCCCGTCTCTATCGCTAGCCTTATGGGAGTCTAATTTAGAGATCATGTCCATTACCAACGACGGTGTTATGTGCAACTCGCTCAATAGAGCCTCAGTTCTAGGAGGAAATCGAGTGTTGGTACACTGGATGAGTCGAGCGTTGAGTTGTATTAGAATTTCCGAGCATAGCACTCAGCCTTATCAGCTGAGGAGGTCAGGACCTCAAATTGTTTGAACAAAGGAGGTATCGTGAGTTTGCTGTTGTTAAGTACGCTCTTGCAGAGACACCAATAATCCTTGGAGCCGAATTTGCGAGATGCAATACGTTGATTCATTCTATCAGCAAATAGTGACTTTCCTTCATTGAGCACACGCTTGCACTCGTTACGGGCTGAGACAAAGTGACGTCTGTTGCAATATGTCACTACGATATAGGCGGATGAAGTGATTCCTATGGGCAATGGCAGCTGAGCAAGCAGCAGAGAACAAAGGGGAAGAGCGCGATTTAACCTGATATTTCCTTGCGGAGATGAAGCCTCGATTCCAGCTTTTACCCAGTAGGAGACCTCGGAAGCACATTCTTGAACGGGGAGCTTTAATACCACGTCCCAGGGGACATCGCGAAGGAAATCACGGAAAGAGTCCCAGTCTGCTTGTTGATAATAGAAAGATGTTCTGTTGATAGGCGCTTCTTTGCTGGGGGTGGATTATAAGGAGATCTTGACAGACACTACAGCATGATCAGAGTTGCTAAGAGGGCAGAACTGCGTGGCGCTAGAGGACTCGGGAATGGAGGTAAAACATAGATCGAGAAGAGAAACCTTACCGCCCAGGTTGTTGGGGAAACGTGTGGAAAAGTCAACTACTTGCGTGAGGGATTGAGAAATAGAAAAGTTAAGGGTTTGTATGCCAGCAAGATCATTTATAGAGTTTTTAACTCACTTGGTATGGTGGGTGTTAAAGTCCCCGAATAGGAATATATGAGCAAATATATGAGAGATAGCCTTGTCTATATTGTCGGAAATACTTTCTAGTACACCACAGTCTTGGGTCGATTGAGAGCGATAGAAGAAGACGTAGCTTACAACATCGCGGAGAAATAGACGGGGACACATGTATGAGTGGGGTCTGGAGATTCGAGAGAGAGAGCTCTCTAGCCAGTGGGAGATGGTCCTTGACGTAAACTCCAAGGCCTTGCATATGGGTTTGAGAGTCCTTTCTAAGGAGAGGAAGGTAAGCGGGGATCGAGAGGTCAGAGGAGGGGATAAACGACTCGAGGTTACGTCCAAACAACTCAAGTTTGGTTTCGTCTGTCCACAATACTATTTCCCAATACTATTTTCCTTTATCTTTATATTAACAAACGAATACTAATCTGGCATGTCTGTGTCTTTTCAATATCAAGGAAGTTTTACGAGGGAAGCATGACTTTAGATTGTTCCTATGAATTTTATTGCTTATTGTCCGTTTAGTGACAGATTCCTGATGAAAGCAAATCATCTTTCAACTTTTCACTAGTAACCATTGGATTTTGTTTAATTTGACGCATTAATTTTACTCGAAGATCTTAAAGAAATCTTCCAGACCTTAGCAATCAGTTGTTTTGGTGAAGTTTTTTTAAATTCTTTACTTCTTGCCATTCTGATAACCTTCTTGAACGAATCTCAATTATAAAATATTCTGTTTGTATTTTTAGGCTAAAATAACCACTGATGACATTATTGGAATATTCAAGAATATTCAACTTGAATAATCTATTAAACAAGCATTAAAACATTTGAAAAATTATTAAAATCGGAAATTTGCATTGTACAAATACTTTTTCACCCATTAAAATGAATAAATGGGATTTATTGCTATTAAATCAATTTTTTTTCTGTTATCTATGCATATTACTTATTATGCCTCTGTAGAGTTAATTATATGAAAAGTATGTTTATTCATTAGTTGAAAATACAATAAATTAAAAATTTGTATGTTTACGAATATTTGCTTCCCCCCATTGCATATATAATTTTCTCAAGCCCTACGCTAGACGATTAGAACAATTCTTATCTAACTTCCCCTCTTCTCAGAAGTACAAGTTTTGCGATCTCACTATTTAGATTTTAAAAGTTTCTAAAATCATACAAAAATGATCCTATGCAGATTTTACGAGACAGGGCAAAACCCATGTTTTTCTTAAGAAAAGAGGAGATATCTCCAATCTTAGAAAAGTTTTTTCACTGCTGCCTGAAGGAGATTTTTGCCCAAGGCTGTGGAAGGTGTCAGCTGTATGCTTTCTTTTCAGTAAAGTTGGTGAAATCAAATTATTCAAACGTTCCGATTGATATCTCAGTTAATCTAAGTGCAACTGCTCAATGTGGACAACATTTTCAATAATTTTCAACCAAATTAGTATCATTTTATTCTGGTCGATCGGAGCCTAAAGATAATCATGCAACAATGAACGACTGCAATCACAAGGAGGTTTCAGGCTTTGAAAGCTGGTGGGACACAAGTTCACTCCGGCCCTCAAGTTCACTCTAGACTCAAGTTCACTCCAGCCCTCAAGTTCACTCCAGACTCATCTTCCCTCCAACCCTCAAGATCACTCCAGACCTCAAGTCACTCCAGATTCAAATTCACTCCAGCCCTCAAGTTCACGCCAGATTCAAGTTCGGACCAGAGTCATGTTCATTTCAGTCCTCATGTTCATTCTATCCCTCAAGTTCACTCCAGCCCTCAAGTTCTGTCCAGACACATGTTTACCCCAGACTCAAGTTCACTCCAGATTCTTGTTCACACCAGCCCACAAGTACACTCCAAACTCAAGTTCACTCCAGGCCTCATGGTCACCCCAGACCCAACTTCACTCCATACTAATGTTAACTTCAGTCATCAAGGTCTCTAGACTCCTGTTCACGCCAGCCCTCAAGTTCACTCCAGAGTCATATTCACTCCAGAGGTCACGTTCACTCCAGACTCATGTTCACTCTGTAGCCCACACGGTCACTCCAGACTCAATTCACTGAAGACTCAAGTTCGGGTCAGAATCATATTCCCTCCAGCTTTCACGTTCACTCCAGACTCAAGTTCACACCAGATTCGACTTCACTCCAGACTCATGTTCACTCCAGCACTCAAGTTCACTCTAGCCTCATGTTAACGCTAGCCCTGATATTCACTCCAGTCATGTTCACTCCACCACTCAGGTTCACTCCACACTAAAGTTCACCCTAGACTCAAGTTCACTCCAGACTCCTGATCCTTACAGCCCTCAATTCACTCCAGCCCTCAAGTTCATTTCAGCCTTCAAGTTCAGTCCAGACTTATGTTCACTCCAGTCTCAAGTTCGCTCCAACCATCAAGTTCGCCCTAAACTGAAGTTCACTGCAGCCCTCATGTTCACTCCACCCCTCAAGTTGACTCCAGACTCAAGATCACTCCAGAGAGATGTTCACTCCAGGCATCAAGTTCACATCAGTCTCAAGTTCACTCTAGCCCTCAAGTTAACTCTGTAGCCCACACGTTCACTCCAGACTCAAGTTCACTCCAGACTCAAGTTCACCCCAGACTCAAGTTCACCCCAGATTCATGTTCATTCCAGACTCATGTTCGTTCCAGATACAAATTCAGTCCAGAATTAAATTCACTCCAGCCTTCACGTTCACTCCAGACTCAAGTTCACAACAGAATCAATTTCACTCCAGCCCTCATATTCACTTCAAACTCAATTTCACTCCAGCGGTAAAGTTCACTCCAGACTCATGCCCACTCTAGCCCTCAAGTTCACTCAAGCCCTCAAGTTCACCCCAGCCCTCAAGTTCAATGCAGACCTCAAATGTAACGCATACACACAATGCATTGCTAAAGATATTGCAAATAAATTTGGACTCAAAAGCGGCAATGAAAAATTATCTAGCGAACAAATTTTTTTATCGAAATCGGATGAAAACTGTGGAAACGCATAAACAACAAGCGATCACACGCACACACACATACATACTTACATTTTGAGAATCACACACACACACACACACACACACATACATATATATATATATATATATATATAGCATGTTTTTAGATTTTCGCACTGCCTTCTGCGAATGTGTGATTAGTAACATTTATATTAGTATTGTGGTCACGTGATGGAAGATTGAGCACCAAGTAATCTGCAGAGAACATACTACCTCATCAGTGATTACTTACCGATTTACAATTACCGTCTCTCGATCTTGCTGAATCTTCTCGTCAGTGGTGAAAGTTTTCTTGCTCCTTCTTCGTGCTTCACGCTTGTCCGGCCAATTTTAAGGCTCCCCATCCACGCTACACATTTCTACGCAGTAGTGCACCGTCACCATATTGTGTTAAAAGCCTCGGATGAATTTCAGCCCGCGACACACATTCCGACCAGAGAAATCGGATCACTGCTTTTTGTTACTCCTTGGTGCACACTGCTAGTGGAGCGGGCATGTTTACACTGTGACAACAGCAATAAGACTGTTGTGATCAAGCAAAAAATTCGATCATATGACCACAAAAGTACCAAAAAGAAGCACATATGCGTAGAAAGCAGCATGACAAACCTAAAAATATATTATTGCGAAAGTACGGTTAATTTTTTTTAATTTACACTCATATATATATATATATATATATATATAGTGTTAAGGTGTGCTATATTTATGGGATGAAGAGCTCAGTATCAGAGATAGAGCGTGTGTAAATATAAATGTGAACATAGAAGTCAACACTTAGAGGCGACAGGCTGTTTCATGCTGGACGCATTCATCAGGCGGCCTGACGATTGCATCTAGCATGAAACATACTGTCGCCTCTAAGTGTTGACTTCTATGTTCACTTTTATATATATATATATATATAGAGAGAGAGAGAGAGAGAGAGACAGAGACAGAAAGATAGGAAAGGACTTAGATAGATATGAACAAACATAGATAGATAGATAGATAGATAGATAGATAGATAGATAGATAGAAGTGCATACGTGCACTTTTGGTGCAGGGTTATGAATAAAAACAAGAGATTTTTCAGGTACTTAACATCCATGCAACCTGGTAATTCTTACGGGGTATATTGAAAGAGTTACGTTTCTAGCGTTTACGATTTTAAAGTTTTAAAAAAGTAAATCATGACATTTCTTTTTCTATTGTGGCAATACATGTTTTGCTCTTACAAATCTGTATTTGATACTCGTGAAGTAAGAATCAAAATCTCTCCATTTTGTTTTAGTTTTGGTCAATGAATGGTGCAGAAAATATTTTTTATGCCCAAAGTTATTTACTTTTTCGTTTTGGCTCCCACTGTTCAAATTGCCAATTCCAAGAGGTTCTTTTAATATTAGATCCACAAGTGTTGAAGCCATGAGCAAGAGTAATTGTGTATAGGTTTTGGCTGACAGCATTTTCCATTCCAAAATTACAATCTTTATCAAAGCTCAGCATTGTTTTAATTTCAATTCTCAGAATCGGTGATCGGATTTTTGTTTCTGCCGTCGGAGCAATAACAAAAATAATGAATTAAAACATCACGGTTCTTCTTAAATTGACTCTGAAAATTTGTATAAACCATTTTTCCTTGTTTAAATTGTGACTTGTAGCCATTCTTTCTTGTTACTCGTTATTGTTGTCTTGGCAGAAAAGACTCGCTCGTTCAAGATTTATTTTTATAAAAGTCTTAAACAAAAGTTTTCAGGCAGTTAGGATGCAAATGAAAACAAAAGTATGGTTCAATTCAACGGTTCTCAATTTAAAAATTGTCGGGGTTTGTTTGGGAATTCGCCATTTTTAGATTTTTACATTAGCAAATGGGAAAACGTTGAGAATAAAGAAGACATCGAAAAACATACTATGAGTGATCATTATTCAGTCTATGAATTCTTTTTGATACTAAAAGAACTGATCAGTTAAAAATAAAGTTACAAATTTCGAATTTACTTTTACTAACTTAAATATCGCTAAAAGGCGGTCATTAATCCCGATGGCAACTATATTGCAATATTTTATCTGATTCTCAATGGACCCCAAATTAAATATTAGTTGGGTGGTTCACTGTAAACCAGTGGCTAGTGACTTCATCTGGAAGACTGTAATTATTGAAAACGATTCTCATTAGGGGTTTTATGTTTGATGATTATCTATTTAGGCGCTTCGTCATGAATTTATGGTTAGAAAAACATTCTATTATTAGCAGATATTAAAATAATTTAAGCGGTATTTCCCAAGACTTGATAAAATAATTATTTTTTTTTTATAGATTTTTTTAAATTAAAAATGACAACAACGACAAATCCTATTTCAAGATAAATTTAGTTGAAGTAAGATGATCACTTAATGCACAAAGGTATCTGAGTACCTCACGTGAAAAGCTTGAACAAATAAGACTAAGCCTAACAAATATAGGAGTAAAAGAACTGATTAATTAAAGCGTTTCATTTTGCTCAATAATTAGTTTTTTTCGAAATTCAGATAAATATTTTATATAGTACAGATTATTAAAACGACCAAGGGAAGTAATCACTCATACATTTACTAATTTACTTCCCTTGTCACTACAAAATGGACAGGAAATATATAAATAAATACACCGGGTAAATATTAATACATATTGAGAATTATTATATGGCTGGAAAGTCGCATCTTGTTTTCTTTCATTAATAGTTTTATGATTATTGTAATTTTTTATTATTATTATACCGTTGACATTGTGTATGTCAAGTGAAAGCAAAACCTCTCAGTGCACCAGCAAAATTCTTTTGTATTCTTACACACGATTGGACGGCTTCCAAAATTCATCAAAATTACATAGTTTTTTTTCACCCAATGAATAAAAGTCTTATAAGAACGTGCAATGATTACATTTCCATATTTGTTTCTTTGATTCAGATTTTAATATTTATTTCATTCATTCCCTCAGTGGGCTTCTGGAACGGCTCTATTCACAGATTGAATTATCTTCTTAATTTATTTACAATTAATACATCTAGTCTACCATTATTCATTTGGTGATCAAGTTTGAATTTTAAAGTAGTAAATAGCCTTTTTCTTGTTTCTTAGGAAAACTTTCACTTCCATATGGTTGGAAAATCATTTGCACAATTCCTACCATATCATTTATCTACCCAATCATATTTACGATCTTTGGAGGATTATAATTGTAATTTGAACGGTGATGGTACCAAACACTGAAAACAATTTTAAGTTTCTCTTTGCCAATTCCCAAGACCTCTGAGAATGAGAACACTTTGAAGGATATTTGCTGTGTCTACGATGGTTATTTTATTTTAATTTGTACCCACATTTTTATGGTGGGTACTATTGATGTGATATCAAGGTGTTTCGAAGAATTTTTGGAACTGATACAAGGTATTATTATTATTATTATTAGCAGCGTACTCGTCAAAAATGATTGGATGGGTACTTCAGCTGTGGATCAATGTATGTGTGCGGTCTTCTTAGTATGAAAACGTCGCTCTTCGACCCTAAGCCTACGATTAGAGTTATTTGGCATCCCCAACAAAACCAACAAAACACACATAATATATATATATATATATATATATATATATATATATATATATATATATATATATATATATATATATATATATATATATATATATATATATATATATATATATATATATATATATTGTTTTATGTATGCGGGAGTGTAATATATTTACTGTTATTTATCTTTGCATAAAAAACACAGCAATTATTCATGCAATCATAAAGTAGCTTTAAATATATCATATATTGTCGACTTGTACATGAGCGTACACGATATGGCGGAAAAAAGTCACTTTTATTAAGCTCTGCAAATTAGAGACGCTTTCGCAAACAGCACTTATACTATCTTTGTTAAATGATACAGCCGAATATTAACCGGCTTCACACATATCGTTTTATTGAATTTGCCATGCTTCACTTGTCTCAAGTTATTAGCATCGACTTCTTTCAACTGTTCCCATTATTCACGGAAATATGGCCAGCTATATTGGCCGGTTATTGTAAGATACCAAGAACTCACGTCAGAAGATTTCTTTAGCATCAATCAGGATATGTACAACATGCAAACACACTATTCATTTATTTAGATTTCGACAAAGAAATTAATGACGACATGTTCTTTTACTTATCTTTCTTTACTATTTTTCGCATTACACTATCTCAGTTTTTTCACTATCTATCTATCTATCTATCTATCCGGGTCTTTTAATAAAATGAATCTATCTATCTATCTATCTATCTATCTATCTATCTATCTATCTATCTAAATATAGTCATATATTTGCGAGCACACATTCACATGGCTCCACTCTAACACACACATACATACACAAGTATATATGACAATTGCTTAAAGGCATGAAACTTATAGTAGTGGTCGGACTGTATATATATATATATATATATATATATATATATATATATATATATATATATATATATGTAATCATTTTTCACCCTTGGAAATGTGATTTGATGAACCAGGTAAA